AAAGATGTTGGCCGGGGGGGGAATCATAGGGTTATGCAAAAATAGTGTCTTGTGTGACCCAGAAGGGGTGAATTATTACTTGGCCCATAATTTGGGTCTTTTGGATCAGTCTAAATTACTAACTCAAGAAGCCTTACTTAATGTTTGAACTGTTTTTTTTTTATGGTTGACATTTAAACTTGAGAATGTAAGGAAAGAAGACTTGAAATTCCTCTAGTTGTGTTAGGCGTGCTCTTAGCATTCACCCTAAAGATTATATTATAATAGCTTTTAATGTTTTTAATCTTGATGGTTAATTAAAGGTTCTCTGCCTCCTCCTTTCTCTGAAAACAACATTAATAATTTTGTTGCACCTCTTTTTAATCTGTTTTCTGTCGAGCACGTGTTCCAGACATGTGAATCAGTGGCTCCCACACTAGAGACAAACTTGTTGTGTACCCATCCCCCACTGTAATTTCCTGTCTGCTATATTGTCTCTATTGAAAATGTCCAAAAAAATCTAAATAACAATTGCTGAGAGATATCACATACTGCAGTGAGTACATAAAAAAGACTGCAATCAATCACACCATAATTTAATAAACAAATATAGTTTCCTCTGTAGTTATTTTTTCTTCAGTGTTCAACTTTTTGAATTATGTTCAGAAAACTATAAATGTGTACTATAAATACTACTATAAGTACTATAAATGTGACGCACTTAGGTCCCAATAATGTATGATATTTGATTTTGTTTTAATTCACAAATGTGACAAATTGAAAATATGATTTTTGTTTTTGTATATATATTAGTGCTGTCAAGCGATTAATCGCATCCAAAATAAGTTTTTGTTTACATAATATATATGTGTGTACTGTGTATATTTATTATGTATATATAAATACACACACATTTATGTATATATTTAAGAAAAATTTAAAAATAAGAAATCAGGAAGGGGGCCAACACTTTTTCACACCACTGTATATATATATTTTTTTAAATGTATTTTTTTTTATTGTTTTCCATTTTGCCATGACGTGTATTTGCCGTATTATTGGGCAAAAGCCAAAATACCCAGCAGTGTGATGTAGGTGTGTACAGGAAATCCCTGTTCACTCGTGGTCTTTAAATCAACCAAATGAAAGGGTATTTCTTTAATATTCAGTCTGCTATGACACCATGTATGCTACTCATTTCTTGAACAAAATCAATTTAACTCGAGTGTAATTTGATTTCAGCTGCTAAAATAGATGTACTACCATTTAAAAGTTTGGGGTCAGTACGATTTTTTTAAAGGTTTGAAGTGTCTATTTATTTTCTTCATAATTGCATAAAAAAATCATATAAGGATATTGAGTTCAAACTTTTAGATGGATATTTCAGCACCGACTGTTCAAAATTCAACATTACTGTACTGATGGATTGATTGACAACATGACATACACAAAAATTAGTAAATTGTTTTATGTTTAACACCCTATACATGTGTAAAAAGCATGCTGAAGTACTGTGGAGTTCTTTGTCAAATAAATAATGGTCAAAGAACACTTGCTGGGGGAAGTCTATAGTGATTATCCTGGATTAAATTTCTGGTCATATGATCTATAGTAAGTATCTAACATCAGCAGTGTAAAGCTTGCTTGGGTGTGTTCAGATGCCCCTTTGTGTTGTGCTAAAAAGCCTAGGATAGGACAGCTTTTGTCTATTGTATGGAATGGGGCAGCATGCCATCATTGTATTATGAAGGGGATGTTGTGATTGACCAGAGAATGGGCGACATCTACACAGTTGAGTTACAGTCCAGCTGACAGCGACTGTAGAGATTAGTAAAGAACAGAGATGACAGGGTAATTCAGCTTCCAGATGGCAACACTACTTCCTGCAACCCCAACACCATAAACACATTCACACACAAGCCTATGTGTGTGTTTGTTCATGTATTTTGGCTGTTGTGGCTGAGGGTTCGAAAGGCTGCTGCAGTATGTTTTGTGGATGTGACTCGTGAAACTGCTGAATAGAAAACCAAATCCTCTTGACACCTGATGAAACTTTACTGCCATTTGTACTTCCCCTTCCATATTTATGCTTGTTTTCTCAGGCTAAACTGCTGAATGTTGAAGAATAAGAGAAAAGTCCAGTCCTGTGTCATGCACTATTTTTGTCATGCATGGCTGTGAACATGCTTACAGTGGAAAGGGGGGAAATACATTGGCTGTGTTGTTATTTCTCTGAACTCCCCTTTGTAAATGAATAAAATACAGAAAAATTTAATTCAAGTTTATTTGTACAGCGCTTTTCACGATACAAATCATGGCAAAGCAACTTTACAGCAAATTAAGTTTCTACAATATTTAGTTCTGTGCTATGGTGGGGCCTGAAACCTGACTGAAATTCTTCATAGAGATCATTTTTTTCTAAAATTTTAGACATAAAAGGAAGATTTGAGATCGGTCTATAATTTGCCTGTTCACTAGGATTTAGTTGTGTTTTCTTAATAAGAGGATAGAGGTGGTGGGAGAGTTAGCAGCGGGCTGTATACTAACCTCGGATTTGTGAGCGTCAGCCTGGGATGATCTAAGCGCGGCTCTCCGCTCTCTCAGCTGGGTCTGCCTCTCCACCAGGTCGCGGATCTGCTTCTCCACGGCCTCCAGCTCGAGCTGCATCGAATGCAGCTCGAACGTGTCCTCACCTGCACTCAAAGGTAGACACACATCCGCCATTAAAGCAAGTAACAGTGAGTAAAACAATGGTAATGTGTGTGAATAGAGTATTAGTAATGTAAGCGAGATTAGCGGCAACCACGCTGGCGATGCTAACGGGCTATATGCTAATAGCGGACTCGGGAAGTCAAAATAGAACTAGTGATAACAAGGCGCTCTGATTGTTTTTGTTGTAGAATACGATAGGGGATATATTCACACGTTATAGAAACGAAAATGATGGTGTATAAAATTGATTTTAAGATAAAAAATAGACGATAAAGAATTAACTTGACGGAGCTCAAACTCAAAACACACGGCAGCAACAAACAGGAAGTGACTTTTTTTTTCAATTTGATGGGGGCAAGGCTGCATTTAGCACAGAAAAGTTGAGAGTCTGCTTTATAGCTCCCTGGAGTACTTTGAAGAGATGGCGCCAAGTAAGCTTGGCTCTGTGACTCTGGCTTCATATCCTGATATATTGCATATTACTCCAGACTTGTGCGTGTGTGTGTGAGAAGAAAAAACAATCTAAGTGAGAAATGGAGGTTTCATGCTCTCATGGTTACATTTATTCCCAGTGTCTCCATTAAATGTTCACAGAGGCTTTTAAAGAGAGTGCCAATATTTTAAGAGCAATTTCACTGAGTCAAGATTACTTAGATGGACTGGTGTAAGTCAGTGGTTCTCAACTAGGTTCCAAACATGTATGAGTTTCTTTCTTCTGTTGAACATAAAAAAATATATATATTTTGAAGAATGCTGACAATCAAACAATTGATGGTCCCCATTGACTTCCATAGTATTTCTTTCCCTACTATGGAAGTCAATGGGGACCAACAACTGTTTGGTTCTTCAAAATTCTTCAAAATATCTTCTTTTGTGTTCAACATTATAAAGAAACTTGAGGGCAAGTAATTGATGGCAAAGGTTTCATTTTTGAATGACACATCACAGTACCAAAATTGTTTATTGTAAGCAAAAATGTGTTTAGAACCAAACTTTGGAATGTGTTAATATTATGATGAATTACAATAGACACACTTACCATTTTTTTTCTCCTCCTTTTCAAAAGTTGATAAGCCTATTTATGACTAAGCCCTTCACTTTTCTTCCTTTTTTTTTTTCCCCCAATAGAAGTTGTAGTTCTCTCATGATTCTGAAGAAAAAACATTAGATAACTAAACAAAATCACATGTAATTTATGAATTAATGATTAAATGACTCACTCAAGATGTACTTGTTTCATTACTGGATGAATCAGCGTTCTTGAACGAATCTCTTGTATGATTCAAAGACAAATACATTTTAACAGCCTCTTTTCACCACCTACTGGCGTAACAATGTAATCGATAAATCTTCATTTGAAGTGTCAAATTACTTTCAAAAGGTGATTTACTCTATTTTAATTGCTACCATCGTACACAGTTTATATCTGAACTATACATTTTTATCCTAGTACTTCTGTGATTTGAATGTTTGTAACACAGAAATAATGATACTGTGTGGCTGAAAAGACTGTGAAGCTGTTTCATTCATGAAAATTATGACACAGATGACAGCTGCTCTCTTTAGGTCAATGGCAGCGCGAACACCAATTTAAATGTTCAAATCACACTGGTGTGATCGTACACTGCACGAACAAACCAAGTGATCACAACATTGATCGCACACATGAAAGTTTGAGGAATGAAACAGACGAATCATTGTAATTTAGGAATAGAATCACGTTGGTGTTTGAATCGCAAATGTAGCCACACTTTGGAGCGCTTAGATTAGCGAGCAAGGCCCAGGCAGATCGCTAGGTCCGATCCTCACAGATGAAGAAAAAAAAAAGCGCATAGGAATTGATAGGCGTAATCGAAATTTTAATTTGACAACAAGTATCCGATTCCTGACCTTAAGTATCCGATTCTGGAATCGGAATCGATTTTCGATTTCCAACCCTACTTTCTAGTCAACTAAGAATCTTAAAAAACGTTTTACATTACACTGGAACATAACTGGAAACCCTAAAAAAACTTTTTACAGTGATATATTAATATCATTAATTAATGGAACTGAAACTAATCAACCAGGCCAGAATAAGTAACCGCTGTGGTTTATGGAGCAGGTTTTTTCCACTTTGTTTCAGTGAGAGCTTACATATTATCACCTGCAGACTGTTTTTAGCGACGTGCTGAGAGAAACTCTTTAGTTATTGTCATGCCCAAAACTTGACCTGCTCAGTGTCCGTTCTTCTGAGATTTCTCCATCAGCATTGGTGTTCTTCTTCATGTCTCTCACAGTTTTGATGAGATTTCCTCTCTTATTTACAGAGCAGCAGTCATGGGGAAAGGATGCATTGCCGCCACCAAGTACTTCCTGTTCTTGTTCAACCTCCTCTTCTTTGTAAGTGTACACACTCCTACACCTTTATTCCGTGTCTCAGCAGAAAAACTGGCCTTGAGTTCAGCGCAGTAGCCATGTGGCTCCCTGTCATTAGCTCTGGGCCCGTATTCATGAAAAATCCTAGTGTTAAGAGTTGCTCCTAGTAACAAAATTCTAAGAAAATTCTTAGAAATGTGGGTGTTTCCTCTTACAATTAAAGAAAAGATTCTAGTAAAGAAAAAAGTAATTCAGAAAGCATCTTAACCCTTATAAGAGGTCTTAAGGTCCAAAATTGTTAGGTGTACAGACGAGGACTCTTAAAGGGGTCATATGACGTTGCTAATACAATATGTTGTGTATTTGGTGTAATTCAATGTGTTTATGTGGTTTAAGGTTAAAAAAACACATTATTTTCCACATAATGTACATTATTGTTGCTCCTCTATGCCCCGCCTTTCTGAAACGCGTCGATTTTTACAAAGCTCATCGTTCTGAAAAGCGAGGTGTGCTCTGATT